ATGAGTATACGTTGCCCAGGGTGCACCACGAGGAGGTAAGTCTATCGCATACCCCACAGTCAACAAAATCCTGTATTATAATTCATTTTACCTCTCCACCAGTCCTTGAGCGCAGGACCCTGGAACCAAATTAATTAGGATAAATATAATTAATTTAACACTGCTTTTAACCATGAAAAAGAACAATATTTGCCAATTATTAACTTTTCTTGACGATATTAATGAGTAATTGTATGTTTCTTTTCTTTTATTCTAAATATTATTTAATTACTAAGCCCTTTATCCAAACCAATGAATAAGCTTGTATTTCACGCAAATTCACTAAATAAGTTCTCTACTCCCATCTTTCATTTTGCCGATGTCTTTGGATTAATAGCTGGAATACCTTCAATTTCCACACTGATAACACGAGGGTGCATGCGTTGGCAAATGATTTAGATGTTTTAAGTAATAGAAAAGAGTCCATATGTCAAAGGAAATAGATAATTGAAAAACCAATCAAAGGATAATGGATAATGAAGTGCACTTGTGGCATAATGTTTGGAAAGGATAACAAAATTAGAGAATATAATACTTTTTATTTAACTCAAGCTGCAGAGTATTTTAGCGAATTTTATTGCATTGTGGCGTCAATAGATCTTCACGGTTTACAAACAACTTGATCTTATTTAAATTTTGTGTTTGGTATCTACGATGCTATCTCTTTCAAATTAGTTCCGTTGATAATCCGTCATTTGAACTCAAAGGCATGCACCTATTCTCAGGCATGGAATAAGTAAATCAACAAAACGGTGCCTTAAAAGAAAGTTAATTTAGCGGTTAGGTTAAAGAGCGGTTAGGCTGGTGGTAGAAACACCCATACCGATTTGAGTGAGTCGTTTCAATTTAGACAATATATCATGACATTCAGTTACATTTAAAGGAAGAATATCAAGGAATCAAACGCAAACGAAGTTCGCATCAGCTAATTCTTTTGCTCAGGTATCTTTCATTATGAGTCATATTTTTCATAGTACTATAAGATCAATCCAGCGTAAGAGAAAGAAATTTCCGGATAAGACGATACGACTCTCAAGATGAAAAGATAGTAATTGAACAAAACGCTATTCAATCAAAGAAGAACTTCAGTGCGCCATAATGATAAAAAATCCAAGGTCTCTAATCGTTTAGTTAACATTCTGGACGACATCCTATAATATATTCGGTCAGAACAACCTCGAAAAAGATAAGAGAAAAAAATATACCATACTGAAACCACGATACATTTCATTAAATAGGTGAAAATAAATGAAAAGTGAATTTGTCTTATATCAAGAAATCACTGATGGTGAATTATATTAGGTTAAATTTTTTTATTTCCTTTGCAGTTCTTTCAAAATAATAGGAGCATTCCTGAACGCAAAAATACAAAAATTGCTTAATGAGTTATTTGATAGTATGGAGAATATGTTGAGTTTTAAAGTTTCAATCACTTATAACATAGGTTGGAATTTAAAGCCCTTTAAGTGATTTTAAACACACTAAGCTCATTAACAGTTTAAACGCTTAAATTTATCTTCGTCTTACCTCTTTTATGCGAAGGTCACAAACGAGGAAAAACGAAAAATGTCCCATGTTTCGGAGTTTCAAAGTATCCTAGAGAAGGGTATTGAAGCAGTTCTACCAGATCGGTTGGTAAGCCGCACTAAGAATTCGCATTTTATGATTGAAATAATGATTTAGGAATTTATAAAAATACCTCTAGAAAGCCAGCTTCTAATTAGATATTAAAGCTTTATGATTATTGGGAATTTTTAAGTTTTTTAAACCTCAAAACGATTTCAATAATTTTTATCAGTAGCATCGATTTGAGTTATGGGCTTTGTTTGCTATCTGTTAATTTTTTTTACTTCAGGTAAGGCAATCGATCAGTTTAATTCCAGATGGAATTCAAGTCGATGGTACTGCATATTCTGTCCCTGGGCAGCTAAATATATTTGGATTTGGAAAGGCTGCACTGAGTTTGGTAAAGTAAGTTCAGTATTATAATTTATTTCTTCAAGGGCAGCTTTGAAAATCCTGGGTTCACGAGTGGAAAATGTCGTTTGCTGCTCTCCTCAACCAACTGAACATGAAATAAAAGAATATCCTGAGTATTAAGGATTATACCATTAATTTCTCGATATAATTTAGTCTTTGTGATGCTAATGAAATTCTAACCAATGATGGCTCTAAACCAAATGTGTTTATCTTCAATGGTCCTCGAACAAATGAACCCAATGCTGAGGTGGTTTTGGCCTCTTTAAAAATGGCCAAAATGGCCTCAAATATGAAGGCAGGTGACCTTCTTCTTGTTTGCATTACTGGAGGCGGCTCTTCACTTTTGGCTCTACCGGCACCACTCGAGAAGGGCAAATCAGCTCTTGATGAATCTGTCAACCGTCTGAGTCTTGAAGCTATTGTTAAAACTACAAAGATACTCTCACTGGATGGAGCTTGTATCCAAGAGGTTGGTATAAATTGCACTTTATCTTGTTCCAATTTATAACTATGGACCTAGTTAAGCATGGAAGCTAAGCATCCATTCCAATTATCTTCCTTATTTTTTAGCTCATGTATATTGACATTCAATAGTTTTGCGTGTTACTTAAGACCGTAAGTCCATTGTTGCAGATTACGAAATATTCTAAATTGGCATTCATTCTAGTCCTAATTTATCCCAATTGAAGCGAGAAATGTGAAAGGTGGCAACTTTACTGTCCTTGATTCTAGGTGTTTACAATTTTGCATTTCTTGCTACTGCATTGCGGCAGTTAATTTAGAATCCTTTGAGCCAAATTTCACCTATAGTTTTTATTGCGTTGTTCTCTTTTTAATAATTTAAATAGAATAAGCAAGATTAATCAGTTTAGATAACATTCGGCTATGCATTAGCTTCCATTATTGTACGCGACAGCTCCAATGCATTTTCAATGTAAGAGAACTTAGTAGATGTACGCTAGAGTAGAAACGAAGTCTGCAAATGTCTACTCAGTGAGCACTTCATACGTAATGTTTGAACATAAATGCGGTTGGAAAATCTGTTTATCTCAAAATTGTGAAAAAACCAAAATAGCGAAAATACCAATCGCAAGCTCTTCTCTTCAGTTTCCAACTTCTCCAGTTTGATGACTTGTCTTACATGATGCCGTGCTTGTAACAGGAGTCTATATCGATACAAATTGTCGACTTAATTATGTTAAAGTAGAGCACTTTTACCGGTGGTGAATTGGATTTTTGCTTATCTGAAACACTACTGGCGTTTCCCTATATATTTTTTTCAAAACACCGGAACTACTTATCTTAGTGACATAATTCGCATTTTTTATTTTAAATTACTTAAAGAGAATAATGAATATCAAAGAATTCTTTGATATTTGAGCTAAATCAAGAAAATCATTTCTCCTAAATATGTCTATGCAAATCTGTTTCTTCTTATCCGTTCGGAATCATAAATTTGTTTTTTTTGATTGAATTCACCAAATCTTTGATCGCACCCTTTTTGCCGCATTTCACTAAATTCCAAAACGAGTACTGCCTTCGTCTTGTGGGTGTTTCCAATTACACTCTTCTAAAGGAAAGCTTTTACGTTTCACCGTTACCTGCTGTTGAAATATATTCCTTTAATAATTTATTTGTGATTCTTTGTATATAATTTGGTTTTTAATTCAATTTTCCCCGTTTTCTGTCACGATTTTTACTTCTAAGGATTTACTTTCATAAGAAATAATAATTAGTGACGATTTTGCATACTCTAACTTTATTTTATGGAAACAAGCCTTTAAGCAACTCTTCTCCCTCTCTTTATGTCCGATTTCCTATTTTATGCCTCATGTTAATTCGATTGAAAGTCTATATCTTCATCATCCATCAGCTATCCTTCATCTGTTTTAAAAACCATATTTTATTCTTAATGGATGTAATCAATTTTTTTTAAAATATACAACCACCCTCTCAACATCCTCTCAATACTTAAATTATGCCTTTTAGTCTGTTCACTTTCTTGTTAACCATTTTATAGCACTGTAATTCTTCATGAAAAATAATGATGGAATTGTTCATTATGGCAAGATTTTTGTACTTAATAAAAGTCTCTATTCTTGCTATTTCAATATCACTCAACCTCTATATTAATGAAAACGTGGGGTGTGGGATAGACTTACCTCCACGTGGTGCACCCTGGGCAACGTATACTCATACGGCAAAAAATTCTATTAATCGGCAGTTGACTTCTGACTTCAAACTACCATTACCCCACTCTATGTCATATTCGACCCCTTCCACAGTATTCATCTAGCTTTTTCTCTGTCTTTTGTGTCTGTCTGGCTGTTACATCTGTGAATCGCTCTTCTTTCCCCCTGTCGAATTTTTCTCACTTCAATGTTCCTCCCTTCTGTGAAGCCCGAAGTTAACTAAAGGGCTAATGATAACTGTCAAAATGCCTGCCATTTGAAATAAATAAATAAATATTTTTGTCATGTTTACCCATAATGATGAAAAAAATGCAAACGTTATTTACCTAGAATTTAAAAAGTGTAGGATGGTATATGTTATCAGTGCACAACTGTAAATTTTGTTTTCTTATACTTTAGAAGCCGCTAGAACATCACCAATGGGGAAATATGTTTTAATAGCGTGATGAGCACTGACGCTATACATCATTTAAACGTTTTGTGAATACGAAACACTGGGAATTGGTTGAACTAAATATGAGAAATGCTATTCAAGACCTAGGAAAGTTTAGAACAGTACCATGAAATTGAATATTTATTCTCTAGAATTAGTCCAAAACCTATTTTACGCGAATTCATGTATAACTTGTTGCTGAAATGTTCAAAATCGCATTTAAATACATTTTTATTTAAATATTCATTCAAATTAATGTTTAAATAAATTATAAATACAATAGAAGCCTTAATAGAAATAAGAAATCTACCATCAAAAATGTTTTTTTCACATGAAGCTATTTTTTTTCTAAACTTTCCCATTCAATAGACCGATTTGATATCGTAATTTGGAATGAAAACGTTCTATCTTTTGAAACGGCTCCAAATTTACATCTCCCATAGTCTATTTTATAAAAGAGACAGAAAAATATGAAAGATTACTCCTCTATTTAAGCTGTAGTTTTATTTCGAAAAAATCACATTATCTTTCTTACTAACTTTGGCTAAAGTAATTTTATATAAATAAACGTCAAACGAAAAGATCATTTCTATAAGTCAGATTTAAATTTTTCCTCATGTTGCGCTAAAATGATACCCACTTTTGTTGGAGAATATATTTAAGTGATTATAAAAACCCCATTTTAAATATCACATTTTCCATTATAGCAATCGTCATATTGCGACTTTTCAGCAAGTTAGGCATTACTTCAATTTGATCGAAGGATCGGCCAAAACACTACTCTGTGGCTTATAAATGGTTTCATCCACCCCTCAAAGGCGTTTGCTTATACATGTTCTCTTGGGAATATTAGAATTATCCGGATGATATTTCATAAAGCCCTATTCAAAAGCTCCTCATTCAACTCTTTCTTATTTTCTTTTTTATCATATATCCTCTTATAAATTTGGAATTTCCGCCTTCCTGAAAGTCTTGTTTGCGCACTTTTGATTTATCTTGAGTGTCATGCTCTCTAAATTCTATCTAATCTTCAACTTGTCTAAATATGCTGCTTATTTGCTTGTGAACTGATAATTTTCTCGATAAGCTCTAATTTGCTCGCACACGTAAAAGTCTAATGTTGAAAAGTTAATAATAAGCTTTTATTCGGGTGGATAATTGTCATCACATGATTCAAATGGACCGTACTCCGTATAAAGTGTTTTGTTTTTCACAAATATACTATAAAAATCATTTTGTACTTTAATACTGACACAGATGCTTAAAAACGATGCATTAGAAATACAAATAATTATTATATCCAATCGAATTGGTGACAACCTGTATTCACATAAAATTATTCTTAAAACCAAAGGCACAACTAAGCTCTTTCTTCTCTAACTAGGAACAGAGTTCACTAGTTTATGCCAAGCCTAACAGGTAGTAGACAAAAAAATCCTTTATTTTGATTAATGAATGAAATCGCTAACCGTATTGGAAAATATCGTCCCAGATATAACGGGATTTTAATGAGGACGCACAGAAAAAAATATTTCAATAAATCCAAATTTGTAGGATTTCTAACACTAATTAGTAATTGCATTTGTGACACAATATATTATATTAACCATAAGTGTTTTAATATTTGACATATTAACGTAGTTTAGCAGGCCAAATCATTTTTTTTATTTTATAATACTTAATTACGCAGTGAATGTCTATGTTTACAGATTCACTATGAATATATTACTCCGCAATTAAGTTAGATCGATTAAGTGAGGATGCTCTAACAATTTACTATGAAATGATTTCGACAAGTTGAGTGTTTCTGTTTGATTATCATTAATTATTTAAGAAATACCAAAGGCGTTGATTTATATCAGTATTTAAATATTTAAATTGTAATAAAAGGCACCCAAACAACAATCTTAATTTTATAAGTTATTCACATTGGTTTGAATAACTATTTACAGCCTTTAAATAGAGGCCCTATTAGAGAAATATAATTCTACATTTTTTTGGTATCACACAATTTTGCAATGACCATGCTTAGTTTTGCTTCTCCTTAAATTGGTTGTTAAAATGCATGGCATAGTTGCAAGATCCAAAAAGCAAATATTTGAAGATGTGCTTAAATTTAAGTAATGTATATTTTATCCCAGTGGTTAAAAATATTTTTTTATTTAATTTAATTAGGAATTGCAACTTTATTTTTGGAATCTTCTGAATACATCGCTAAAGGGGTGGAAAGACTATAAGCCAAGACTTTCTTCATAGCCTAAAATGAATTCGAAAATTATGTCATTGTTTTGTGAAATCTTTGCACACCTTGCGAAACGCTAAGCTTAAGTATGCCTACTATCACTGATCTGATATAAGGAATTTCAATACAATTTATGAAAGCGTACTCGGATCTTTAATCATATGTGAATCAAAACCTTCCGATCTATAATAACATCAAAATTTATTTATTTATTCATTTATTTATATCAAAGGGCAGGCGTTTTGATAGTTATCATTGACCCTTTAGTTGGCTCCAAGTCTCACAGAGGGGAAGGAATTATAAAGTGAAAAAAGTCAATAAGGAGGAGGGTGGAACAGAAGAGTGTTTCAAAGATGCAAAAGAGACAGACACAAAGGTAGAAAATGGTGAGGTGAGTACTTGGGAAGTAGTCGAATATGACATACAGTGGGGTAATGGCAGGTTGAAGTCAGAAGTCAACTGCCGGTTCGATAGACTTTTTTGTCATATGAGAGTATGCTACCCTTGGTGCACCACGTGGAGGCAAGTGTATCGCACACCCCAAGTTCAAAATGTAGGTAATTATGAAACGTGTTCAAGAATTAATCCGTAAGAAATTGAAAATGTAATCCTTTAAAGAGGAACATAGATGTTTTTTCGAATTAAAATTTGAAATTAAAATTCTCTTAAATAATTTGAATTAAATTCTTATTTGATGGAGACAATTAATTTGCCATTCTAATAGACATAAGTTCATAAAGTTTACACTGATTGAAGCTTACGACTTTTCTTGAAGATAACTGAGATATATAAAATATTGGAACTTAGCAAAACTATATAACGGCTTTGTTGATAAAGGATGCATATTTACTAATATAAGCTAAATGTATTCAATTCTTTGTGGTTTATTTTCCATCATAGGTCGTTGATATTACCATATATAATATCTCAAAATAAAATATATATATATATATATATATCCCAAGAATGAACTCACTAAATACCCAATTGCTTTCACAAATCAAGTTTTACTATCCACCAATGTACATAAAGACTAAACTAGTAAAGCTTACTCCATTATCATAGGCAATGTATTTTAAAAATTCAACTTTCTTAAAGATTGAAATCATTTTATGCGTTAGTTATTTTAGGCTATCCTTTTTAAATTAATTAATACCGATTTCGATAGGATTTTGAAATTAATATTAATTTGCCATCAGTTGTAATTAAAAGCAAATTAACCTCAGATGCACAATATTTACTTTTGTAAAGAGACATATATTGATAAATCGGAATATAAAATATTCTTTTTAAAAAGAATTAAAAGTTACTAGATTATTATGATTTCGTTTTGCAAGCCTTATTTAAAGCACCGCCTATATAATACATCATCAATCCCCTCAAAACCAATAAATACTACCCATTGACGGAAAGTATTATAAATTTTGAAAAACAATTGTCGAACTGTTCATACTACGTCCCCGAAATTTAGGAGATGTTTACCAAAAGTCTTTCTACATGACTCACTTCCATTATTTGCTTAAAATTTAAATTCAAATAACAATTTTCTTTTTCACTGATTTCCTTTCGAATGGTAGAATATCCATGCAATGTAAATAAATCGTTGTGTACATTGTTCTTAAAAATACCTATGTTTTATATTGCATTTATTAAAAATGAAGATAATTCAACATTCAGTCAATATTTTCACATAATATCGTCCTTGGATTTTACGATATATTTCAAATGTTTTGACAAAATACGATAGCTATTTTTGGAATTGAAATTTATATTGAGTTCAATTCTACTGTAAGAAACTTTTTAGATCATTTATCTTCGCAAATAATTAAATATGATGTAAGTCAAAGGTGGTTATAAGCCCGAACTCTGACAAAATCAATAAGTCCAAAATCCACATGTATCATAATTCAACGCAAATTTCCAAGAGTAATTCTAACAAAGTGATTCTAAAGGGTTGCAGGCAAAATGTCTAAAAATTTTCTTTTTTCATAGAGTAGGGTAATTTTGAAGTCAGTAAAGAAACATAAATTCGAGAGCCATTTTTCCTTATTAGCATTTAACTTTGAACTAGAAAATATATCAGTCCAAAAGGAAGACGAATGTTTAATCTTTTAAAAATATTACTTACCAAGTAGCGCTAACGTAAATTTATTTATTTATGTCCAAACTGTCAGCTTTATAGAATTTTCATAGCTAAATGTAAATCTATAAGGCACTCAAATCGAAAGGATATCAAAGTAGTCAAAATGACTTAAAGTTGAATATTTCAATGCTTCTCCATAAAATTAATAAAAGTAAGAGAAAAAGTCGAATAAAATTAAACAATTTGATTTATATATAAATACGAGTCATTGTTGAAATATGGTAAAAATTTATACAACAATAACTTAAAGCCAAAAGATGAAGGCGAGGCCTCTAAAGGTGCTCATTTAGCCTCTCCTTGATGAAAAATCGTTCAAAAGGAATTTTCGGATTAAATTTGTCAATAATATTTATTTAAGCCTTAAATTTTTCAGATGATAATTTGCTACTTCCTTGTGTACTAACTACCATCAAGTGGAAAGAAATAGCCCTTCGAATATAACATTAATCATATTTAAAGTGCGACTTGAAACATTATGGATGAGCATAACTTAGGATTATATAAGATTATAGCTGGTTTGTCTAATTTTAACCGAGTGTATCATAATGAGTGTGCAATAGACAACAAACTGGCATTTTTTTTAAAAATTTCGATTGCTAAATTAGTGTTTATATGAAGTGTTTATTGCAAGATGTAAAATTTATAATTTTAAACGTTTAAGATTTGCCTAGATGCTAAGTATACCATTTTATTGAAATTACCGCTTCTTTCTTGAACATATAATTGTAGGTTACTAAACGCGTTCCAGCACCGTCTATTCTTCTAATAATTAGAATTTCCCAAACTTAATTAAAGTAAAAAGCTGCGCCTTTCAAGTACTCATAAAATTATACCTTTACTACAAAGATTTAATATTTGCAATACCCTTGCCAGAGTCAGAAATCACTGATCATATCGAATTGAAATTTGGTTAGTTTATATTCCTCGCATTGTAACAATGAGAGCAAAATGAATGAGGTAAACATTGGCAATTTCAAAATAGTTTATTTTGCAATCCATAAAAAATTTATCATTCAAATATTTAACCATTTATTTAGAAATAAGGTCGCTCAGAGTATGACTGAATTACTTATGAAAAATAGAGCAGAATCGGTCAAGATAACTGCATGCCCTAGGCAAGTGAAATTTCCTGTACTAATTTTTAGAAAATGTTTAATTATGACACTGGCAAAAGGTTCAAATACATTTTATCATTATTTTGATTATTCGGATTTTTAGAATATACTTTTTGGTGAAAATATTTAAAAAAGAGCTATGCTAACTAAAAATATAAGGGCCTTATAATTTATTACGCATAATTTTATAATAAATTTAAATCAATATTTGAAATTGTAAAATTTTTTTAAGTATGCATGATTATTTTTTACTTCTATTTTAACACTTAAATCTGTTTTTAATAACATTTTATTTGAATTTTGCCCAAAGCCAGATCATTTTCGATTGATCGATTATTAAATAAGTTAAATACTTCTAACATCTAATCCGAATGTCGCAGATTTATTGACATCACAAGTATTGTTGTCAAAATCACATTCATTTACTCAATATATACATAAAAGGACAAACCAATTTGATACAATTCAGCACGTCAGGGATGGGAAGAAAATGAAGAGTATTGTTAAGGTCAGTAATTTTAAGCGTGACAATTATTAACCGTCAACACAGAAAGTGATTTAGGATTTATGGCTCTTTCATCATCCACATTATGCCGCATTCGGATTGTTTGTAGCATTCTTTTCTGAACTTGTCTTCTAGCTGGCTTTCGTCGTTTACAATGAAGGCACATGTATGTCCACCTGGAAACGGTCTGTCTTAGCAACCACCGGAATCGTCTACCCACTAGTCCATAGATGAGAAAATTACTGGCGAAGTTGAGAATCGCTGTAAATAAGGCGATTGCGTAGAGTGACTGGGCTCCTTTTGGTTCGTCTTCATTTTTCCATATCATTTCATGAAGTTGATAGAAAAAATACAATGCTGTTGGCGTCTCGCAGACAATAAATACACTTATTACACATATCAGCATAGCCGAAATATTCCTCGCTTGGTGTGATCTCCACCTTTGCCTCAGTTGAACGGTATTGAAGTCATTTCCGGTGGAATTATTTTGCTGTCGATAATGGTCCAGGCGTCCTAATCTTGGAGTAGGTGGTCTTAGGTGACTATCATTCTTCGGTAAGCAGAAACGATTTTCCACTTGCACTTCGGATGAAATTTCGGGTGACACTCGATGAACTTGTTGGGACTTGTTGTCAAAACCTTTTAATAGTTCAACACTTTGAAGTTTCCAAATAAGATAAATATTCACGAAAAGGAGACAAAGAAGAGGTACTATAAAGGTCACAATCTGATCAAATATCTGTATATAGACTTGTGAAAACATTTTGTACCAGGGCTTGTTTACAAATATAGGTATGCAAGTATCACAGGGCAAGCTTTCATCGTGGTAACAAAAGTCAAGTATTAGTATGGGCAATTTGATGAAAAGGCCAACCAAAACGATCAAAATCTGCATACGTTTAGCGTTTGAGACTGTGCAGATTCTAGCTGATTTGAAAGGATATCTCAAGGCTACAAAACGGTCAATTGAGATGGACACAATAGTGTAAGCTTCTGCAAACTTGAACCAAACCAGAAGAAAGAGTATAGGTGAGTCGGCCTTCCGAATAATTTGGATGCAAAAAGAAAACCATCTATGTTTGTCGTAGAGCAACGGCACAATATAATAAATAGCGTAAAGTATTGACAGTATTAGATCCTGAGTGGCAAGGACCAACATTAAGTAACGAGCTGTATTTCTTTTAGTATCAGATCTGAGAACGCAGATTGTGAGAATGTTAGCCGGTATTCCAAATAATACAAGGCCCAAGCATACGTAGGCCACAAGTATAAAATTAGGTCCTTCAACGTTGACCTCACAAATTGGTGCTGAATCATTAAAAAGTAGTGCGTCTGTTGAATTACTAGACATTATTTGATGATAGGGTTAAGGAAACATAATCGAAAGTTGTAGATGAGCCAATTTTAGTTATACATAGGCCTTTTGTGACTTGATATATTTACTTCATTTCGATTCGTTGCTTAAGCTAGATTTAATGTCTGCAAAGGACAAGGAGATCCAATCAGATTTGTTATAGCACTTTAGCTCTAATGGAATGGCCTATTGTATAGAAGAGAGAACAGATTTATTTTCATTCATAAATTAAATAAAATTTGAGGGTTATTAACAAAGAGGCCATTGCATTTTAATAATTGCTGTAAAGCCTACTTCTAATTAATTGCATTGTTCTATAGTTTGGTATTCCCTTTCATTCAAAATGCTTTCGGGATAGTTAAATTATCTTTTCAGATATTAGTAAAGGCTTTAATATTTAATCAATCATGCGATTTAGCTCCGATTAGGCTGTGAAGGAAACAACAATTATTCATAGGAATTAATTTAGCCATTCATAATTTCCCGGAAAATTAAAATTTAACAAAGAATGTTGGAAAGTTTCCAATCTTATTTCATCTTGTAATAAGGTAAAAGTCTTTACTGAGGTTTGCTCAAAGTTGAATCGACGATGTGGAAATCTTATCCCTACCATTAGTTTTGGAATAATCATAAATATCTAAAGGAAATGATGAGCAGAATAATTTTTTCCAGGCTTTAAATAATAATGATAAGACATATTTTTAGAATTTTAAAACTTAAAGGAGTTAGATTTTATCTAGAACGATTTAATTTGCTAGTTACCAAAGCATATTTCTGCTTGTGAGTAGAATGTACTAACAGAAATATAAATACATAGAAATGTAATGAAATAATTATCGCATGAATATTCTGCAAAGCAGTAATCTCGCAGAAACTAATAAAAAGCCGCCGTTTGAAGAAGTTGCACTGAGAAACGATACACTGATAAGTCCTTATTTACATTTATCAAACCCAGTTCTAAGCCACAAAGCATTACAAGTATTACTAGGAAGCTTAAATCTACTGATATGGTTTAATTTGTATAAAAAATTTAAATAGATTTATTGAAAATGCATAGTTATTAATACTTTGCAGCTAAATTATATTATTTAGCAACTTCCTGGGATGTAGAAATTATATTTTTTTCAATGATTTCTGAAGTAATCTTAGTAATTGAGTTGCACATATTGAGATTGAGTAAACCTTATCACGAAGATGTTATATGTAGTATTGCTTTGACTGGCCTGCGGCAAAGGGAATTGGCTGACTTAAAGACAAGGGGCGACAACTTTGTCTTAATTTTTTTTCTTGCATATTTTCATAGTTTAACAATTTAAAAATATGTCTACGAGAGGATTTTTCAAAATTCAAATTAATTTCGAAGATATAAGTATTTTGTTGAGCAGACATTAAAATCTTTTGGGCTTCAACTAATCGAGCAAAAGACATAATGGATTCTCCGACTACCTGAATCTGTATTTCTTAGTAAGCCTTTTTGTTTCGTTATATCTATCTATCGATATATAGTTATATATATATTTATATATATACATTTCACGGCATTTGATTTACGGAACAGGAAAACACCAGTTTTACGAGTGCATCAGCAGCAAAATTCAAAAATTAAATGATGAGTAGGTGTTTATAGATAATAATTACGGCTACTGTGTTTTGGAGTTCTTCACGGTCTTTCCAGCGATTTCTTCGTTTGTTTCGTGTACGTCATACAACAACGAGATTATATTTTCAAGAACAGCTCAACGCGTACTCGAGTTCAAAGTGCATTGCAATGCAGTTGCGAGAGTCTACGCTACATTCCATCATGTTCATTCGTTGACAAATCCTTCGAAGTTTATCATCAGAAGAGTTATCAATTCGATGTTTGGGTCCAGAAACTCAAAATAATTATGAGTCTCCAAACTCCCTGATATGGACTTTCACTCCAAAGCATATCCATTCCGGGTCTCAGATCATTGAAATTGCAACATTTATTGCTGTGTGTGTTTTAAATGAAGGCTTTTTACCGATATTGAAGATAATGACGATTATGGGAGTGAAAATTGGTCCAGAAGAGCATGCATTTGCCATCAGACGAGACAACGTCCGGACTGACCACTCCGAGATGCGAGCATCAAGCGCACCAAAGAAGGCCAGAACTGCCCGAACAGAAAATAGAGACGCCGAAAATAGTTTTTTTCGATGTCGAGGAAGATGCGATGTATGCCACAGAAATGGCAGATTGAATAAATGTAAGTTAAAAATATAATTTTATGACTTAGACTGCCAAAGATTTTACTTGAGACTAAAAACGCGTTTTTCTAAAAACTGTCCTTTTAAATCTGATACCCACGTTTTCTCAAATTATGCCAAACCGATTTATTTGAAATTTTAAGAGAGTCTTCTTTAGGAACTTAGCTATGTCCGGAACTACGGCCATGCCCAAATTTTTATTTATACTATTTTTAAAAAAATCAAAGAATGTTCAAAAAGTGGTACAAAAATTGTTTTTTTCTTTAGACAGTCGCCATTTGGTAAAAAAAATATATCTAATACTTTTCCGTAGTTCCGGACATAGCGGCATTATTGTAGATTGATATTCTGCTTTAGTTTTTGATTTCGGATTGCTTGGAGAGTTAAAATCGTGGGTGTGGTCACGCACCATATTTTGGGACGCCCCACTCCATCAGCTGATAACTAACGGAATTTTGAATTTTTTTCATTTTTTATTTTTTTGTATGCTTCTAAGGCGAATAAATAATGTATAAAAAAATTGATTATAAAAATATTGCTTGCTTTTTACAGCACTTCAAAATTGACCTAAAATTCATGTCTCTAGACCAGAATACCCTCTTAAGTTCACGTGAGTCTTTGTCTCAGAAGTTAGTTTTAAGTATTTGCATGCTTTTATCTCTATCTTGTGACAGTTTCACATACCACTCTTTGCTTTTCAATTTGGTAGAGCAAAAGAAGAAATTACTGGTACCGTGTTACAAAACTTAGAAATAGCGTAAATAAGCTGACTGTCATTCATGGCTTAAACCACTTTCCTCACTCAAAAGAAAGCAATATCTGCTGGAGAATGTTAACTATAATACGAGATGTGATTATACTTCAGCTAATATTATTGGGTGAGAAACTAAGTCATTGCCGTTTTTTTTGACAGATTCACTCTATACTTTCTTTTGTTTTGTTAACGTGGCCAGAGCATCTAATCTATATTTTTTTCTTACTGTATGGGCTTCTAGGTTAATTAGTAAAAAATTTTTTTTGTTTAGTTCTTTAGTTTTGTTTTTATCCCAATTTAAAAATGAAAGAACAGGACGTGCACTTCCGACACATTTTATTGTATTACTTCCGAAAAGGCAAGAACGCATCGCAAGCACAAAAGAAGAAGTTATGTGCTGTATATGGAGATGAAGCCTTAAAAGAAAGGCAGTGTCGAAATTGGTTTGAAAGATTTCGTTCCGGTGATTTTTCACTGAAAAATTCACAACGATCTGGCCACCCAGTCGAAGTGGATGAAACCCAGACCAAGGCCATTATCGATTCAAATCGTCACAGCACAACACGAGATATTGCAGAGAAGCTCAATGTGTCGCATACATGCATTAAAGATAACAATTAAAAACCCTTGGTTATGTCAAGAAACTTGATTTATGGATCCCTCACCAGTTAAAGGAAATTCATTTGACGCAACGGATTAGCATCTGTGATTCGCCGCTACTGAAACGCAATGAGAATGATCCATTTCTGAAGAACCTAGTTACTGACGACGAAAAGTGGATAGTTTATAAGAATGTTACTCGCAAGAGGTCATGGGTGAAGCAAGATCAACCAGCCCAAACAGTATCAAAAGCAGAGATTCACCAAAAAAAGATTATGCTGTCAGTCTGATGGGATCACAAAGGAATTTTGTATTTTGAACTCATGCCGCAGAACCAAACGATAAATTCAAATGTGTATGTTGAAGAACTCGAAAAACTGAAGGATGCAATTGAAGATAAGCGGCCGGCATTATCAAATCGGCGGAAGGGTGTTGTTTTCCATCATGATAACGCAAGGCCCCACACTTCTTTGGTTACTCGACAAAAATTATTGGAACTGGGTTGGGATGTTTTGTCACGCCCATCATATAGCCTTGACCTTGCGCCTTCGGATTACCATTTGTTTCGTTCCATGCAAAACTCTTTAAATGGTAAAATTGTTAACAACGCGGATGATGTCGGATCACACCTAATTCAGTTTTTTAATAGCAAAGACCAGACATTTTACGAACGGGGAATTTCTACTCTGTCAGAATGATTGAAAAAGGTCATCGACAAGAACGGCCAATATCTAATGGAATAAAGTTATATTTTTAAACAAAAATTCCAAATTTGCCTTCTTATTTGAAATCGGCAATGACTTAGTTGCCAATCTAATAGATATAACATTTAAAGTACGGGGTACGCGTTAGACTTACCTCCACGTGGAGCACCCTGGGCAATGCATACTCATGGGGTCAAAAAGTGTGTAATTCGCAGTTGACTTCTGACTTCAAACTACCATGACCTCATTGTATATCAAATTCGACCACTTCAACAGTACTCATATTACCTTTTCTCTGCATTTGTGTCCATCTGTCTCAATACATCTGTGTTTCCTCCTGTTGGAATTTTTCACTATGATGTTCCTCAACTCTGTGAAGTCCAAGGTTAACAAAAGGGCTAATGATAACTATCAAAGCGCCTGCCATTGAAATAAATATAGCATTTAAAGTAAATTTCAGGAAATATGTTTTAATGGTGTTTTTTAAAATACTTCTTGTCGAATGAGAACATACTCTTTTATATCCATGCCTCGAATTAAGCACAAGAGTTTTCATTCGTGCTGCTTAACCACGGTAATAGTATTGAAGATGTTGAAGCAATAGCATTCTATTCTTTGTCAAAAATAATTTTTAATTAAATAATGTTCACATTATGCATTCTCATGCTCACTGAACGGCGGAATTAGTCTACATCCTCAAGTGCCCTTGT